GACTCAAATCTCCTGGTGGGACTGATTCACATCTTTATCACTGTAAAAAAGCTCTAGAAAAATATTTGAAAAACTTCTGCTATCAGCATGGCTTCTGAAGAGCAACCCCATGGAGGCAAAAGTCATTGACAATACAGCATCAACAAAATCACAGTGAAAGACTTCTCTGTTTCCTAGCTACCTCCAAATATGTGTGGACATATATGTTACAAAATCCGAATAATTTCTGTGAATCTTGTACAAGCATAATTGATTAGAAAAAGTTACGAGTAGTTTCAAATTTAGGGAAGAGGACAGAAAGAGGAAAGGAAGAGCAGGAATATATGGAGTAAGACTGAAAAACAAATTTTCTTCACATACATTGTAACACTGGCCATCTCTGTGCTCTGACTTCCTGTACACAAATACACATTACACAATTTCCATCACTTGCAAGAAACAAAAAAAGGTCAGAATTAGCTTTTCCTAAATCCTACTGCCAGTTTATACCGCCTTTTAGTGCTTTCTATGTTAACAATGAATCTTGCTGAACATATAAAAACAAGCTCTGTCTTCACAATTTATCCCTAACACAGCTTTTCAAACCAAAAGAACAAGAACATCCACCTCTCTTCTGCAGAGACCTTGTTGTTGATTACTGTTGGTGACTCTTTGTACCTTGCCCCTCCTTAGCCAACCATCAATTCTTCCTTGGATTTTTGACCCTCCTTCTGATAGTAAGTGTTACAGGAAGATAACACAATCCTACCATAGCAGGAAAAAGCATTCAAAGAAGTACAAGCACCAAACCACTCATCAAAGAAATAATCCTTTAAATATCTGTTCACTGCTATAAGTCAGCTTTCACCCATGAAGTTAGAACCTGGAGTGCCACAGCATATTAAGAAGCAATTATATATTCTTTATATTGATGTCCACTTCATAGTCTGTCTACAACAATAAAAGAATCCTGAATGGCACAACTTCAAGCCAAAAAGGGTAGTTCCATTAGCAAGAACCTGTTCCACAAGAAAATGGGTATAAATGTTTATGTTTCCACAGAGTGTATATATGTGATTGAAAGTGTCCTTTAAAGAGGAAAGCTTGGAAGTTTAAGGCTACATATATTTCTATCCATACCATAACTGGAACACCTACTCTAGGAGAAGATTGCAGGAAAGAAAAAAAAAAGATGTTAAAGCCAGAGTTCCCTAAATTTACTGAGGAAAACTTCACATTAATAGCGAGCAAAGACTTTAGTACAAAATCAGTAATCACCTCCCATTTCAGTGATGTGAATTTACACTGCTTGTGAAAAACAACAAAAAAGAATCTGCATGTTATGTCTCAGATAGTGATTTCTGTCCAAAACACCTCGCAACATTTGGGAAAGTTGACTACAGAATCCCGTAACATAAATGGATCTAGAAATATTTTTAAGGAATTATCACATTAATAGCTAACAATCAGATGAGTATCAAACAACAACAACAAAAAAATCTGTATTTTCAATGACAGTGCAAACATTAAATCCTATGGATAACTTCTGACATAGGTGCAAGCAATCCTCTTATGTCCCAGCAATCACTTCCATTAGTCAGTAAGTTTAAAAAGAACTTCAACTACAGCCCAGTTTGGATGGTTTTGCAGTCTCAGAGATCAGTACATTCAAAAAGATAAAAAAAAAAACAAACAAAAACAAAAAAAAACACAACTAAAGGAAACTAAGCTTCACCGTACTCCATCAAAAGCATTTCCCAGAAAGAGTGAAAGCAAATTCCAACAGAAAATAAAACACATTTAAGCACCATCTACATAGAAAGCAAGAGTCCCATCTTGCATAACCACCTTTTCAAGACTACACTTGTATTTCGATCGTGCCATCTCCTTTACTTTCCTTCCTTTTTTCACAGCCACAGACAAGCAATCACTAAGTTTTACTATCAAATCCAACCAATCTCGGCCGCCAGATATCCGCAAGGGACGACCATCCTTTGCAAAGCTCGAATGAATGAAAGCTTGAACAGCACGGCACAAACGCCAGGGGAAGGATCCGCGGATTACAGGAGATTAGGGAGGTTGCAGAGGGGGGTATCGGACTCGCGGCGCACCCCGGCCAAAAAGAAGCACTCGGTTCTCCGTGCCGGACCGACAGCCCGACTCGCAGCCGTCGGGTGTCGCCGCACCACACCGGGGCACCGACGGCTCTCTCGGGGCAGCCCAGGCACTGGAAGTGCAGGCCCCACCGACAGCCGGCCCGGCCCCGCAGGCCGGTGGCACCGGCCCGGCCGCGGGCGATACGGACACTCCCGCCCGGGCGCGTTCCGGGGATCCCCGGGGCTCTGTAGAGCCTCCCGTGGCGCGCAGCACGGTGGGCCCAACGCGTCACCCGACCGGGTGCCAGCGGGCCTCGGCGGAGGAGGAAGCGGCAGCGGCGGCAGCGCCTCGGGTCCGGGCCGCGGCCGGACCGCCGGGCGCGGTGCCGGCAGCGATGCCGCCCACCCACCCGCCCGCTCGCCCGCAGCGGGCACCGCACGGCCCCGCCGGTGGGCCCGGCCACCCGGAGCCCCCTCAGGCCTCACTCACCACCGCAGCCGCTGCCACCGCCACTGCCGGGCCCGCTTCCGGCTCCCGCCCCGCCGCTCCCCGCCCGCCGCTGCCACGTCCGCGCTCCGCCCGCCGGGGCCCGGATGCGGCGCAGGCGCTCGGAGGCCCCGGCCGCTGACGTCCAGGCTGGGGCGGGCGGCGGCTGCGGGAAGGGCCGTAGGGGTGATCCTCGCGCAGCCCCAATCAGCGCTGTGCGCACGGGCAGCTGAGGCGTAAGCAGGGCACGGCCGAGCGCTGCTGAGCCGCGGCCACCATTGGCCACGGTGCCCTTGGCCGCCTGTCCCGCCAGCGGCCTGTGAAAGACCGCGACAGGGGAGCAGGCAGGGCCAGCTCTGCACCAAGTTGCAAAGAGTTGTTCACTCCCTACTAATAACAGCGGAGAGGTTGTCCCTCCCCACTCGCCACTGGTGTGGCCACACGTTAAGTACTGCCTTCAGTAGGCCCTATCGGCCCCCTTTCTATAGAAAGGGCATTGAGGTGCTGGAGAACGTCCAGAGAAGAGTAGCAAGGCTCGTGAAAGGTCTAGAAGACTGACAGGAATGGGTGAGGGACCCGGGATAGTTTTGTCTCGAGAAGAGTAGGCTTGTGGGGGATCTCATCGCCCTCTACAACTGCCCAAAAGGAGGTTGCAGTGAAGTGAGGACAGGTCTCTTGTGTGGCTGCAGAGAGGACAAGAGGAAATGGCCTAGAGCTGAGACAAGGGAGACTCAGATGTTACAAAAATTTTTCACTGTCAAGGTGGTCAAGCGTTGGAATAGGTTGACCAGGAACGTGGTGGAGTCACCACCCTGGAGGTGTTTAAGAGGCATCAGGACCTGGTGCTGAGTGATGTGGTTTAGGGGTTACAGTGGTAGTGCTGGGTGGATGGCTGGACTCAATGATCTGAGGTCTCTTCCAGCATTGATGATTCTGTGATTGTGTTGGTGTGTGCCCACCAGCAATATGCAGTGGCACCAGATGAGTGGTGCTGTAGTGCTGGCAATGGAGTAGTCAACCAAGCAATGGCATTATGGCAAAAGGACATCCTCTGGATGTTATGGTATTAGGCTATTTGTCATTGAGAGCTAAGCATATGCAGGATGAGGAAGCGGTAAGGGTAAGCTTGTCCTCAGGACCTTAACAGAAAATAATTTTTCAAACCTTGTAGGAAAGGGGGAACATGGACTTTAGTTCTTTTATAAGTCCCTGGCTTGGGATGGCTAGGAGGTCTTGTCTGTCATGGTCCTAAAGAAAAAACACTGAAAGATTCTGCTCCACTCTAGTGAGACCCCTTCTGGAGACCTGTGTCCAGTTCTGAGGTCCTCAGCACAGGAAAGGCATAAATCCATTGGAGCAGGTCCAGAGGGAGGCCAAGAAAATTGTCAGAGGAGAGATGGCAGCTTCTCTTACTAATAAAAGCTGAGAGGGTTGTTCAGCCTGAAGGTTTTGAGGAGACCTTATTGTGGTCTTTTAATACTTAAAGGAGCTTTTAAGAAAGCTGGAAACAGATTTTTTTAGTAGGGCTTATAGTTACAAGATAAGGGGTAATGGTTTTAAATGAAAAGAGTATAGATTTAGACAAGATATAGGGAAAAAAAAATTCTGCTACGAGGCTGGTGAAGCACTAACAGGCTGCCCAGAGTGGTGGCAGATGCCCCATCCTTGGAAACACTAAAGGTCACGTTGGACAGGGCTCTGAGCAATCTGATAAGAGTTGAAAAAGTCCCTGCTCATTGCAGGTGGGGTGGGCTAGATGATCCTTGGAAGTTCCTTCCAGCCCAAATGATTCTCTGTTTCTATGATTCTATGACCTGATTGGGCTGTCTTGGCCATTGAGTCTATGTAAGCAGTACCCTGCAGAGAACTGTTTGAATCCTGTGTGTGTAGCTAATCCCAGCTATTCTGGTCCCGGTGTCTAGTGTTACGAGTGGATGTAGGGGATGTCAGGGAGCAGCACGCTGCAGAGGGAGCACAGTACACCTATACGCTCCCCATGGCTTTCAGGGCAGGCACATAGTGCTGCTGCATAATAACACTAGCTGCATGGAGAAAATAGAAGTGGCGAGCACATTAATTGCAAGCTGGTTTTGTTCAATTCATAGGGTCAGGTGCTGTCACCTGATTTGTACAAGTTTGTGCCTGTGACACATCCTTACCTGAAACTCATACTAATGGATCCTGAATACTGAGTGACTCTAAGATTTGCATTTGGAATGCAAAGTGGAAATAAAATTTTTACTGAAATGCTTCCAGCTTTAAGAGTGTCAGACAAAGCTCTGGAGAGACAGGAGGTGTGCTATTTTCAGCCACGTTCCGGTGAGAGATCCATCGTGTATGCGGGGGGGCACAGAGGGTGAGATTGACATGACACGTGTGTAGGACAACTCTGGCCCCTTACCAAGGGCAGAATCAAATGTCTAATCATAGGCAGAGCAGCAGCTGAGAGTCCAGAAGAGCAGTGAAGGCTGGGCTTGACAGTCTCAGCTCTTGTGTGTGTGTGAACTTCAAGGAGAAAGTGAGAAGAGGGCCTTGTGGGGACTGGAGAGTGGTGGTGTGAATTGGGAATATGGGAATAGAAGAGTCTGCCTGTTAAGAACTGGAGTCTGTACTGAAGTTGTGAAGACAAAATATCTAAAGCACAGAAATCATGGGAGCTGAAGAAGAAATGCTCATCACTCTGTCTGGAGGTGCCCCCTGGGGCTTCCGCCTGCAAGGGGGTTCAGAGCAGAAAAGACCCCTTCAAGTGTCAAAGGTAGGACCTTGAGGTGCAAACTGTGAGAGCAAAGTTGTTCTGCTGAACTCAGATATCACTGCTGAGTCAGGCATCTTTCACTACTGTTAAGGAATACAGGAACTCTTTACCATGGCAGCAGATCTTAAAAGGAAAACTTGTGTGGTGTGCTCAAGCAGGGTGTGAGGTGGGCTGTGGGTCCTGGAATAGATGCTATGGAGGTAGAGACAAGTGTCAGGTGGGGATATGCTTCAGTGCAGGTCTGTACAGCTCAGACACTTTGTAGGCTGTACAGCTCTCCTGAGTTGTCAGCAGAGCTATAACCATAGTGACAGTGCAGGGAAAAGGGCTCAAATATGGAAACTTCAATAGTCATGTAAGACATCCAACTAAAGAAAAAATAAATGGAAGCTGTAGAAGCCATATTTTTATTTCAATTGTCCTTAACATTTCATTACTATATTCCAGCTTTCAAAATAGATGCACATTTCTTAGTGCCTCTTCTGTTGATGAAAGTTTTTCAACACTGTCTGAAGTGAATATTTGTGGTGCTCTAAGCAGCAAATACATTTAATTTCAAGAATTAAAGAAAAACAGTTGTTTGGATGTGAGATAAAAAATTGGAATAAACATGAACCTTGTGTTACACTACTTTTGATAAACAGCTGTTACTGTTGTCTTTTCAGAAAGATTACTGAATAGATTGAAAACCAGTGGAAAAAATGATCCTCTTTATTAAGCTCATAACAGCTGCATTAGCCTTAACACAATGATATCTTGGGGTATCTCACTGGAAGGCACCCAGCAGCAGAAATGAAAAAATGCTCTACCCAGCTCCTTCTGTTTCCTTAAGTAGACCATGCCTCTGACAGAATTTTGAAATTAAATGTTCTGTGTCACTTGGCTCACCTCAGATCACGGAGTGTTTGTCTGTAACTTCTGCCAAATGTTTTGGAATCCCATAGCTTGGCCTTGAGGTGAATGTTTCTTATGTAGAGAAGGATGATTTTTCTCCATAAAAACAACTTCTGCACAAACTCATAGAGTTTCAGGTGTTAAAAAGAAAGAATGAATATGCTTGCAACAGGTGTCTGGCATCAGTGGTTCTTAGGAAAATGGAATTTTCAGGGGTCACATTAACTCTGCATGGTCTAAGCTGATTTTGACTCTTGTTTTTCCCTCAGTAGACAAGAAACTGGGACTGAAGAGGGCGGAGATTGTGAGTGTCTATAAAGATTACTCAGGATTGAACACCAGCAAGGACTAGTCATTACCCAGGCTAAGTTGCACCTTAAGGTGAATGAAATGTTGCTCAAGGATTAGTAGCACTTTCAAGAAGGTATTAACTAGAAGCAGCTCTCACCCAGAACTGGGTGCTGTACTTTAAGTCTAGCAATACAAACATATATAATTTTTCAATACTTGGATATTGCATTAAAAATAATTAGTGAAAATATAATAGATACAAATCAATTTGAGGCTCAAAGTAGACATCATTCTTTAGGCAAGATTTTCAGTTTACAATTATCTTTTTTGTCTATTATTGCCCAGAATTTAATAGCATTGAATGACCCTACATACTGTCTTGAAGGCAACACCATTTAAATAGTCTCCAAAGAATGGATTTTTTAGGTCCTTACCATGTAGCCAGGAAGATCATATCTGAATGTAACCTGCTTAGAAGAGAATAAACTGCCAAATGTCATGTGGTAGAACATACAGACATGAATAGCTGATAGGTGCCAAGAGATAACTGAGTGGATACTGTTTGTGGCTCAGAGATTCCAGTGCTGTCATTTTAGGCAATTTCAACTTTTAGGCTAGAAAAGTCATAGTAGTAACACTAAAGAAAGATGTTTACCTTTGGATGCTGAGTCAAATGATAAATAAGTGATGAAAAATTAATTTAGGAAATTAATCATGTATATCAAGTACATTATACATAAATGATACATGTTGTACTTTGGCAGAGATGCTGGAATTGCTAAGTCAGACTAGGTTAAGAGTTACCTCTTGTCCTGCTTCCTGCTTCCTTTGTGTTTCCTGCAAGTATTTCAGGGGAAGTTTTAAGTTTCACCAATGCATCTAATTTTTGCCTAATGCAATGTGGAGGGAAATCCTTTCCCCTTAGGTAGTTATCAGCATGCCCTGGGAAGTATCTAAGAATTGGTAGTCTTAGTGGTTTACCCTATAGATAAACAGAAAATTGTTTCTGAACAACTAGGACCTTACCTGTCTAAGTCTTATGTGATTTTCTAATGAAGATTTGGTAACAGCAAAGACTAAATGTTGCACTAAGTGGGATTTCCTGCTTGAGTCGCTCTTGTTGTGTTACAGAGCCCTTCATAATTCCTCATCTTACGTGATCAGTGTACACAGTTTCTCGTCTTCTTGCCTTTATGCTTTCTAAAGTTTACATCACCATCATCTCTTAATTGTTTCTCTTTATGGAGATTATGGTAAAATTACTCACTGATTGTTGTTCTTGGTATCTTTTTCTTGTTTTCCTGAAAATTTTTTGGGCATGCTGTATGGTTACC